TCCAGCTTCTTCTACTACCGGGGTCGGAATTCGCGACATATGCCCTAACTTCTCATACTCTTTAATAAACTCTACATATTGTTCGCGCAGCTGCGGCTGTCTATTTAATTTTCTTTCTATTGATTTAAATCTATTTTCGGCCTGCTGCAGCGATAAACCTAATTCTTCTAATTTGCTATTAAACGGAATTCTTACTATATACCTGCCACTCTCGTCTTGTCGCGTAGTGGCTCTAAAAAGGGCTTCACAATCGTCTATTTCTAACCTAGATCGATCCTGAATGTTCTCTATTTCCCAAAATCTCTCAATTTGATTATGTAAATCTCTATTGGTGACGAGATGACACCGTTGAATCTTTTCAGTAAGGGGCCAACTAATTTTCCCCCCTAAAACCCATCCTAACTGAGTTTTCTGCCAAAGTAAATTACTACCTGCTTTATGTTGCCCTACACATAATAGATGCCAAAATAGTCCTGCGCCCATGAGTACATCGATTGGCCTACATTTATTAAACTCAGGATCAGCTAATACTATGTGGGCTGGTTTAGAAGTCACAATACTGTCTAAAACTATACTTGGCATGTCTTGAGTTATCTCATTAAGTACAAGACACGCGAGGTTAGCGCTAAATTTATTGATCTTAGATCCTATCTTTATATTAACTCTATCTTTAATGTGACTTGCCTTGCCAGCTAACCCTAAAACTTGTATTTCTGTCGATTCGTAACTAATTCCTAGCTTTTTGCATAACCTATATGTAATGAAATTCGACTGCGATCCAGAATCTAATAACGCGCGGCATTGGATTTTTTGGCCTTGCCTATCTTCAATATGTATTACAGCCGTGGATAATACAGTCTGTTCTGATTTATTAATGTCCGAACTTGCGACGCATGCAATTGTTGTGTCGGCTTGAGAAGGACCTGCTTCTGCGGAAATGACTGTGGTGGGTTGTGAAACTAATACGCGGTGCAGCAAATTATGGTGTTTTTTGCCACAAATATCGCAATGTTTACGTGTGCATGCCTTTACGCGGTGGCCCTGTTGCAAACAATTAAAACAACTTTGAGATGTTTGGACTATTTTAGTTTTTTCATCAATGGAAAGACCTTTAAATTTATCGCACTTGTACAATGGATGCGCAGCACTACATGCGGGACAGGTAGTAGGTGCACTTGTTACATGGGTTGTTACGCGGAAAGGCTTGCGACTACCTGCGAGCCCTAAGGGAGGTTCAGCTTTTGGTACGGCTACCTGACTCTGATGCGTTATATTTTCTAAATATGATGATCGCTGTTCAAGGAATGTGGCAAAGGTTTGAAACGTAACCTTCTCTGCTGATATTACGCTCTTTTCCCATTCCCTTAACGATGCACCATCTAACTTTCTTGATAAAATTGGAACTATTAACGTATCCCATGAATCTACCGGTTCATTTAGCGACTTCAAAGCTGCTAAATGATTTCTTGCATCATCGATTAACTCACGAAGGGCGGTTGACGACTGTTTTTGGATTGCCGAAATATCTAATAATGCCGTGACATGGTGTTTTCGAAGGGTGGCTGAATTTTCATATCTCGATTTTAAAGCGTTCCATGCTACCTGATAGTTTGACTCTGATACTCCTAGCGATTGTATAACTCGGGCGGCAGGGCCCTTTAATGAAGAATTGAGGTAAAGCGTTCCATGCTACCTGATAGTTTGACTCTGATACTCCTAACGATTGTATAACTCGGGCGGCAGGGCCCTTTAATGAAGAATTGAGGTAATGAAATTTCTGCACATCAGATAATTCAGTCTCGTGCACTAAACTATTAAATGTGTCCCGAAATCTAATCCAATTGCTGAGGTTACCGTCGAATGTTGGCAGATGTATGGTTGGCAATTTGACTGTAAGAGGTGCCTGCGAAGATGTGGGAGACGCGGATTGTCCTACAACTTGATTTGGTACTATACTAGGTGGTCGCGAATTTTTTATGAACGTTTCGATTTCTGCGATTATATTAAAATATGTCTCTTCAAAAGTTTCTCTATCTGCTGCGTGAGTCGCTTCAGCTTCTGTTCCCTGAGTTATGCGCTCGATTTTAGTTTGAATAACATTATAACTATTATATAACTTAATGTTTGCTTCTAACCGTTTTTGCAAAGCCTTTAGTTGTGCTGTATGCCCTGATTCGCTAAAATATCTACTCAATCGAGTCAGAGCGGCCTTGACCATGCCACGATCACCAATAAGTTTTTTGAGCTCGGCCTCCATTTTACGCTATTAACCCAAATAGAAATAGGAATGGAATCTTACTTGACAGGAATGGACGTAACGATGACACTGCCTGAATGCGTGTGCTGGACCCGTAACTGTCAGTAGGATGCTGTGGGCTGCTGTAGACTGCTATAGACTGCTGTAGGCTGCTGTAGGCTGCTGTAGAACCCTTGAACCTTGGCTGTTGCTGCTGACTGGCGACGTTAATCGTGGCGTCGACCCTTAATGGCTGATCTTCTATCTTGTTTCAAGTTCTTCCTATACGAAGAACTTTCTTTCTGCTATACACACTGAGTCCGTTACACTATACTGTAACGCACTAACTATTGTCCACACATCAACTACTGTCCACACTGCTTCTAATAACCACGTGCGCTGAATTCTCCTGCTGATTGTCTTCTTTGCCTTCGATTTGCTGGACTGTCGTTGATTTGGTTGCTGCTCCAACTCGATTCAACTCCGGGATGCTGCGATATCCGGCTCGAAGGACCAATGTTAGGGTTTGGTCGAGCCCTGGTTATTGCACTTCGTGCCGTCTAAGTTCTATTGGAATTGAAGGACCACCCAATATTTGTACGGATTGGGGCCGTGTAGAAACACTCACAAACTTGTATTAAAAATATAGGTTTTAATAAAGTCGTGTGTATGTGTGTATAAACGGAGGTTGTGTGTGTGTGTGTTTTAGTGTGTCGAATATTTAAGTATTAAACTGATTCTGTTCTGTACTGATTGAACTCTGTACTATCTAACTATTCTCCTGTCTATACTGTTGTCGGTTTGTACTGTTAGTTATCTAAACTGTTAGCTATCTGTCCAATTTGTCATCTTCTAGCTTCGTTAACACCTCTGTCCTCCCTTCCATTGCGCCCTTAGCGTGGTACTTTTCTGGAAGGGGAACAGAAGTTCCTACGGGGGAGGACGGCATTCCGGGAAGAATCCGGGTTTTTCCAAAATCCTATGACGTCAGTCCCGGTCCGCGGGACCCGTTACTTCTAAGGGTCAGATCGCTCTCTGACCTTCTAAGCTGAGAGATTTATGACATGACCTGTGTCACTGAAGCCAAAAATTCTAAAGACTAGTGCAGCAATAAACAGATCTGCTAAAAACTACAAATTGTCACGTACCATCGTAGTGCTGGCACGCAGATGGTACGGATACTAAATTATGGGGTTCAAAAGTGACCGCTTTCCCTCGTCATGTCGTAAACCTCATCTATGCGAAACTCTAACAGCAAGTGTGGGTCCTACTGGACTTATGGTGTAAGACAGGGTTGGAAAATGAGTAACGCGTAACTTTGAGTTCGTTTTGAAAAATGCTGTATATTCTTCTGGAAGGTTTCCTACTCTCCCGCGAAACTCAAGGGCGTCAGAGTTGTTTCCTGGCCCCGATGTCCCACCGTCGGGCCTCATTAACGTAGTGGTCGTCATTTGGCAGCCATATCCCCTACGCCCTGCTTTATTGGGGAGAGTCATTTGAAAAAACATTAGTTTTTTTAATATTATGTTGTCCATTTTTTCTCCACAATAATTTTAATATAGATTCAAAGTTTTTTTAAATTAATGTTATACATTTTTACATCCTCAGGGTAAGAAACATTATATATAATAGTATACACAATAATATTAAATATAACGGTAAATATAATACTACTATTCTCTTTTATTCTGAGAATGTAGAAGTGTGTAACAATAAATAAAAAACACTTTGAACCTATATTAAAATTATTACAAAAAGGGAATGGATAACATAATATTTAAACAACTAAATCTCTTTACCAGTGACGTCGTTGTAATAATGTCTTATATTCCAGTATATAATCAATTGCAACATAAAGAAATAAAATTCGTTTTTAATTAATTTTAACTAATACAATGATTTATGTGGGATAGCGCGTGCGGCAACGCAAAGAATGACGTGCTAATACAAAGTGAGAGGAGAGTGAGTGAGTTAACGAGTGAGACCGCAAGCGAGCAGTGAAAATTACATTTTTAACCGACTTCGAAAAAGGAGGAGGTTACTCAATTCGATCAGTATATATTTTTTTTTTTT